AGCCGGGGTCACCGACACACGGCGTCACCGGAAACACTACACCAGAATACGGAGTCACCAGACACGGAGACGGTGCACCGACACACGGCGTCATCAGGGAGCGATACCTACACCGGCACGGCGTGTGCCGGCGGCACACAGTGTTTTCGGGCACGATGCACACAGCGTCACCAGACACGGTACACTGACGCACGACGTCATCAAGAACGATACCTACACCTGCACACGATGTAATCGGACACGATACACCGCCATACAAAAAATGACACACACAAGGCAGCACAAGAGACACGTTGTAAAGACAAAATTTGTCACAAGGTGTGTTACACTAGCACACAGTGCAATTGGACCTGTTTACCAGCAAATAACATCACCAGAACTGTGAAGCCAGTGTATGCCACCACAATTAGGCATGTTCAGTGTACAGTGTCATCACAGGTCACACCATTCACAGCTTTAGTGTGCAGGTAACACTGGCATCACTGCAGTGTTTGAGCCAACCTATACAAAAATGACAAATAACTGCCACTCTTGAACTTACTTTTCTGCTTATGCTCATTGATGACATAGTGAATCCACTATTCAGAGAAAAGGTATCCAGGTTTCATCGAAACTGGCCGGTCGTTCCTTGAGCTGAAGCCTGGAAAACAGCAGAAGATGTACAAACAGTTACAACAGTTAAATGGCAAAATCATTTCAAATATTTACAATCTAAGAAAAAACAACCAAAATCAGGCAAAATTAGGACTGGTGGCAGCAGAATAGAGCTGGTGTTTGAGATACTATGTTGGATTGGGGGAAAATATTTTATTACTGGCACCAGGTTACACTCAATGTGTGGTTTAATTAAAAAAAAAACATTGCTTGTAAGGCAATAAACATCACAAGTTGCAGGGTGTGATGCATACCTAATTACATGGCTAATGTTTGCTATGCAGAGGGACTTTTGCCTTTGTTAATGATGACTGCAACACCTCCCTGCATAAACCAAATATCCATATAGTAGCAACACCACTCATGTAAAACAGCACACATCATAAAAATATCATGTGTAGCTAGTCTTAACATATGAGTACTTCTAGCCATGAATTTTCCAGCAGAGCAACTCATCTAAAGGGCAACTAAACTAAAAACTGAGAGCAAAATCAATTCAAAATTTCACAAATTCACAAATGGCATTAATAAAAAGACTGCAAATTGTGCAACGCCATAATGGCAATGTGATAGGAGTGTATAGGGCAGGGCAAACGCAACAAGCTCTACCAAGCAGGAGCCTTGTGCTTGGGAATCCAGTCGGGGAAACTATGGTAAAATCTGCTATTTTTAGCAGTCTGCTATTTTTAGCAGAAATCTGCTAAAAATGGGTACGCATGTGACGTCATCGTACCCAAATATAGCAGATTTGGGTACGGACCCATACAAAAGCAGATCTGCACCCTAATTGAAGCAAATGCGCATCAAATGAATGGCAGATTCATGATTAGAATAGTGCTGAGGATGTCCTCTGATATTTTTGTTCAGATCCGACTTTTTTCAAATAATGAATTTGAAAATAGTCGGATCTGAACAAAAATAGCAGAGATCACTCTCAGCACTATTCTCATCATGAATCTGCCAGGCATTTGATGCGCATTTGCTTCAATTAGGGTGCAGATCTGCTTTGGTATGGGGCCGTACCCAAATCTGCTATATTTGGGTACGATGACGTCACATGCGTACCCATTTTTAGCAGATTTCTGCTAAAAATAGCAGACTGCTAAAAATAGCAGATTTTACCATAGTGTCCCCGACTGAATCCTTCCATTCAAAGTATGATTTAAATTTATTTCATAAAATCACTACATTTTATAACCAAATTATGAACACTTCAGGATTCATTTGCAGCAAACAATAATGTTACCAAAAAATTTAGAAGGAGAGTGAATGCATTAAAATTTAAAAAAAGTGGAAAAAAGTGAAATCGGAGAGCATGTACCATCAATGGGTCATTTTTATTTCTGACAGTGAAGGAAAGTACTTTGAAAATGAATTCACAACCATAAGTAAACAATGTTTATAAACTAAAAACACAAATAACTTTCACTGAATGAAAAATAACAGAATATTCCCTAAATTTTGACAGCATCCACACATGTGACAATTGTGTCCAAATCGCGCCATAAGTGCAGCAATTAAGATCATCTACTGAAAACAGCCATTAAAAGGAGGCGTTTAACAGTTCTGACAACCACAAAATTCTGAGAAAACAATGAAAAATATTACCCTTCCATAAACCATTCGTTCCAGCTTGAGCTATCAGCGACTTCAGCGCCGCCGCCGTGCGGCGAAAGGGACGGCGGAGTTTAGACAGTTATACTTTTTTACATTAGGTTAACCATACTTAAGCAGAGCAGGTGAAAATCATACAACAGCATTGAATAAAATCAAAATAAATATACTGAAACGCTCTTTTGTTGCAAATTTTATCGCTCCAATCCAAATCACCAAACAATACAGGCGCTCTTTTGATTGTCGCTTTCTTAGAGCTGAAAATTATTTGAAAAATAAGGAGTTGGAAATACATGCGAGCTTATACAAATAAAGTGAATTTTACAGCTAAAAAATGAGTTAGATTTTCTCTCAAGAGTGTCATCTTAAGCCTGCAAAGAAACTGGAAACAATGAAAGCAATGCAAAATTCAAAATGCGGGACGACTCAACTTAAACAAGGGCAACTATCTACGGCTTAACAACCTGATCAGACGGAGACAGTGGCGTGATGAAATGCATATGGATATGCAAGAACGCTACGACACCTTCAAGACCGAGTTAGCCCACCTGGTGAACGCATGCGTCCCCAAAGCGTGTCCAAGGAAAAACAGAAGCATCTACATAAACAGGGAAGCCTTGAGGCTAAAGAACAGGAAAAAGAAGCTCTGGGCCGCTTACACTCGAGAAATGGACGACATCAGTCATGCAAGGTACGTTCGCTGCAAAAACGACCTCAGGCGACTCACCCGAAACCTGCGCAAAGACTTCGAAAGGAGACTGGCCTCCAACCTGAAAGAAAATCCCAAGGGTTTTTGGCGATACGCTGGCTCCAGGATGAAGACTACAAGCGGAGTTGAGAACTTACGCTCTGCGGACGGCACCCTAACTACGAACGACTGCGAGAAAGCGACGACACTGAACGACTTTTTTAATTCAGTCTGCGTCATGGAACCCCCCGGAGAAATCCCGGAGCCGAACAACACCTACCACGGTCCAGCTGTCACTGACATCGATCTCACTGTGGAACTCGTGAGAAAGAAGATGGCTGCCCTACGACCTTTTTCCGCCGCGGGCCCAGATGGAGTGCACCCACGGATCATCAAGGAAACAGCCGACTCGTTAGCAAGCACGCTTACCTCCATCTACCGATCGTCATTGGACACGGGGACCCTGCCGCAGGACTGGAAACTGGCAGATGTGGTTCCAATCTACAAGAAAGGAAGTAAAGATGAACCAGGGAACTACAGGCCAGTCAGTTTGACGTCGGTTCCGTGCAAGCTCTTGGAGTCGATCATCCGCGACCGGCTTATGGCACACCTCAAGTCAGAGAACCTGATCAATGACGCCCAACACGGATTCCGTCCAGGGAGGTCCTGCTCTACTCAGCTGTTGCTAACGATAGAGGATTGGAGCAGCATGATTGAGGGCAACCGACCTGTCGACGTCATATACCTAGACCTGGCCAAGGCGTTCAACACAGTCCCACCTAGACGACTGCTGAGGAAAGTTGAAGCTCACGGCATCGGAGGCAAGATTCTGAGATGGATCGGCGCATTCTTGGAAGGACGGAAGCAGCGAGTCACTGTTGGGAGCAGCAAGTCAGACTGGGCTCCTGTACCAAGCGGTGTTCCACAGGGTTCAGTCCTGGCTCCACTGCTCTTCACGCTGTACGTGAACGACCTGCCGGAGCCGCTAAGCTGCGGGATAAAGATATTCGCCGACGACAGCAAGCTCTATCGACCTATCTGCTCTCCGTCCGACTCGGCATCCCTGCAGGAGGACCTGGACGCGGCACTTCACTGGGCAGACAGGTGGCAGCTGGCATTCAACCCTGGAAAGTGCAAGGTGCTCCACATCGGCGGAGGCAACCAGCACCACACATACCGGATGGGGGGAACTACAGTCGCGGAGTCGGATGTCGAGAGAGACCTTGGCGTCCTCATGGATACCCAGCTCAAATTCCGGAAGCAGGCTGCTGCGGCCGTAAGGAAGGCAACACAAGTGATGGCAGTGATTCGTCGGTCCTTCCACCTTCTTGACAAATCAACCCTCCCCCTGCTCCTCAAGGCCCTTGTCCGACCCCACCTTGAGTACGGGAACCTAGTGTGGGGTCCCTTCAACCGGGCGGACCAGCGGCTGGTAGAGCGGGTGCAGAGGCGGGCGACCAAGCTGGTTCCCGATCTTCGACACCTCCCGTATCGAGAGCGTCTGAAAGTGCTGCAGCTACCAACGCTGTACTACAGACGGAGGCGTGGAGATATGATCGCGGTTTATCAGCTGCTCCGCGGTGGACTGGACATGGACCCTCGCAACTTCTTCGAGATGGCAGCCGACAGAACTCCTGCTACAAGAGGACACCAATGGAGACTAGCCAAGCCGCGAGCGGTCTCCAGGATTCGGCGCAACGCGTTCTCCATCCGGGTCATCAACGACTGGAACAGCCTACCGTCAGTGGTCGTCGCATCCGACACCCTGAACCAATTCAAAAACCGGCTTGACGCTCACTGGGCACACCATGCACACGACATCCCTCACGCAGATGAATAGTCAGACGCACGAGGAGCTCGACTAGAAAGGTTTCTAAAGGCCTAGTCTGGCCTATCCAAATTCTGTACTTCGTAAGTAAGTAAGTAAGTAAGTAAATTCAGACATAAGTAGATTCCAAAAGTTGATAGCTCACTACTATTTATTTGTTGTATACATGACGCACTAATGACAATCAAAATATGTTCAAAATTTTATGTGAAATGAGAAGAATGGCTGACGCATGCAAAAGGCCCACTTTGATTTGCTTGTTTATAACATTGCTAGCGCTCCTAAGCATTATATTTCCTTGCATGAACTCTGTGGATAAATTCCTAAAAATAATAAATCCAAAAGAACGTTCTTGAGGGATTAAAATAAATATAACTGGAGTTTCGGGCACAGATGATAGGTAGCTATTGAGCTATTGAAAGATATAAAGAATGTTTAAGAAAGTGAAAAAGAAACCACTAAGGGAGCGGAAGGCCTCATCAGAGAGTGACGAAGCACCCCAATCAGATGAAGAGGAGTTATCCTTAGCGTATGTTATGAATGTTGATAATTTGATTGCTATTTTGATGTTTCCTTATCAAACAGAACCACTCCATGTTATTGTGAAGAATTGAAATTGAATAGTTAAGAACTCTTCTAGTCCAGAAGGGGTTGGGAATAAGGTTTGGTTGCTAGCCGCTAGGTATCAGTGGTTGCTATAATGCTGTTAGGTGCCTATCAATGGTGTTATCTTTTTGGCCCCTGAACCTGACATTCCGACTGAATCATCTGACTGGGCACTGTGTTTGGCTGCAGTAAATACTGTTGTTTTATTTTCTGTTGACACTGGACACACCAGACTCAGAGTGGTGTAATTCACGTTTCTGTCACAGTAACTTTTTCATTCCAGTGAGAAGCTGGAGGAAGCTCGGGAGCTCCAGAAGCTACGTAAGAAGGCTAGTGGCATTGACATTGAAACACTTGCCAAAGGAGATGTTAAGAAGGACGTGAAAAAGAAGGTAGGAGCTGTGTCATTTTGTCAGCCCCATATTTACTAGGTATCTGATAAGTGATAGATATATGAATGGGAATCAGTGCTTGATTTTTCATGCATGATTCAAAAGCTGAAGACATGTGGGCAGGTATGAATTCTTTGATGTAATCATCACACTTTTTGCTAGCTTTAATCTGCATTGGCTAAGGAATTAAATGTTGCCATACACTCATAATAGCAGTACTTAATCCACTCCTCCTTTCCATCTCCTCCCCTACACACATTCATTAGTAAGATATCTTGGCCCACACTGACCTGTTCATGTCTCTGTATTCCTATGGCAGAATGACCCATTCAAGAAGACAACTGGTGGAATGGTGGACCTGGCTGCCGTCAAAAAGGGGGCCGCCGATGACACGGACGACGCGTATGACACTGGTATCGGCACCTCCTTCTCGGCGGAAACCAACAAACGAGACGAGGATGCCGAAATGTGAGAACGGGGAGGCATATGGGGCTCGGATGGTGACAACAGCAAAGTAATGGCTTAGAAAAAATAGTAGAAATGAAGGCACACCGCAAATGTGTTTTGTGTATCTGTTCCGTGCGCTATGACTGAGTGATAATGTAACAGAAGTCTGATCGGTTCGATAGATTTTTTATTGTGGTGACTCTTCATTTAGATCGTGTTTGTTATAGCCGTTGTCTTTCTGACCTCTCTTAGGCAGATTGTGTTTATCGTTACCGTTGTTTACTCATTTATACCGTTTCTGCTATAACCGCTGTCTGTCTCACCTCTCTCTCTCAGGTAGATCTTGTTTGTTATAACCGCTATATGTCTAACCACTCTCGGGCAGATCGCTTCTGCTATAGCCGCTGTCTGTCTTTCTGACCCCTCCTAGGCAGATTGTGCCTGTTGTAACCGCTGTCTGTCTCTGTTCTCTCTCAGGCAGAAGTACATCGAGACGGAGCTGCAGAAGCGGCGCGGTGTTCAGGAGAACGAGGACGACCAGCAGAACTCGTACCTGACGCCCGAACAGGCGGCGCTCATGGTAGGCAGGCCGTGAATAGGTGGGCCGTGAACTGAGGCGGGTCGTGATAGGCTGTGACCAGGGGGCTGTGACCAGGTGGGATCATAATAGGCGGGTGCGCATGGTGGGGTGCGCCGTGACCAGGCGGGATCATAATAGGCGGGTGGTCATGGTGAGGCATGCCGTGCCCCTCACCTGCCCTGGGGGGGGGGGGCGATAAACACGAAGTGGCAATGATTTGTCTGGGCTTCCTGGCCGCATCCCGGAAACGGAACCCAGAGGTTGTTGCCTGCCCAGTTCGGCCCGTACAATTTCGTGCTGGTTGTCGTATCGTGTCCTCGGATTCGCCGATGCCTGTGTGAAACTGAGCGATATAGTTTGTTGAGTGTCTTGAGTCAGAGCGAGTTCGATTATCGGTTGCCGAACCCCGTACGTTTGTGTTTCGGGTAAGCCCGACTGTGCCGCCGTTCCCAGCGCATTAGTTTCTTTGTTTGTGTTTGCAGGCTGTGCCGGAACACCTAAGGAAGAGCTCCAACAAAAAGTCGGAGGAGATGCTCTCCAATCAGATGCTCAGCGGTATCCCGGAGATCGACCTCGGCATAGAGTGAGTCGACGAGCCTCCGCTACTGCGCTCGCTGTGTCGTGAGCTAGTCTGGTACAAACTGTCGGAACAATGTGAGAATCGATTCGTTAAACGGAACTAGCCTGGGGTTCTCGGTTGGGTATTTAAACGATGTCACGCTGTTTCGTGTTGGCTTTTTGTCGGTCTTTTCACGTATTGACAGAAACGTAACGACAGTAACCATACAACCGGCTTGCCTGCGTTTCATTCTAATCGTTGTATTCGGCAATCAAGCCGATCACATTATTCACGCTGTAACCACGCGACTCCTCCACCATCAGCGCCAAGCTGAAGAACATTGAGGCGACGGAGGCGGCAAAGATGAAGCTGCTGCAGGACCAGATGAACAAAAAGTCGGGTCCCTCCCAGTTCGTACCGACCAACATGGCTGTCAACTTCGTGCAACACAACAGATGTGAGTGCAATGCGGCGTATAATTTGCCTTGTGTCCCTCGAAGCGTCAACTACATAAGCGTTTTTATTTCCCAACACATTCACTACCATGAACCAAGCGCCGTTTTGGCGTTCTTTCGCATTATAATTATGACGGCGTGGGATTAGATAGCTAACGTAGGGCACCTAACTATATTGGAAGTACCTGTTGCATTCTCTCCACTTCCCTGCTACATATTTCGTTCACACGTGTCTATCCCGTCCCGCGCAGTCAGCATCAAGGAGCCGCTGCGGCCGAAGCGCGCCGAGCAGCGTCCCGAGCCCAAGAAGCCCGTGCTGGTGGTCGGCGGAGTCCGCGAGGACGACGACGAGACAGAGAGAAAGCGCAAACACGGACAGGCCAGCGACGACCTGCTCTTCAACAAGTTCAAAAAACAGTTCCGGCGGTGACCTCCGGCGGTGGCGCGGTATGGCTGCCGGCGGATGGGTGGGTGATGCTGGACGGCGGAATGGGTGACTTGGATGGTGGAATGAGTGGTGCCTTGGATGGTGCAGTGACTTGGAATGGAAAATAGGTGATGAACGGCGTGGTCTCTTGAGTCTAGGGAGAGCCTTCTTCGCGCTGTGTTGGGAGTATTTGTGCGTGTTTGCTCGCAGTTATGTGTCAGTACGTCTGGTGTGCGGCTTGTGCTGGCATCAGTATCCTTGTGAACGGTTGTGTTTGGATACGACGCCATGTACAGTTTTCAGTGTTAAGTGACTCGTGTATCGCTCTTCGCCTCGTTGTTGGTCAGCATTTAGCGACGTGCACCCTTTCCGTCACGCTCTCGAAAAGAGCCTTCGTCTTATCGGAACATAATCGATTGCTGCGCGAACGATTTCCACTTTTCATCCCATAATTCCGCAGTTCCTCAGAATTCTCCATCCCATCATCGACCTGCTTTAACCAGCAGTTGTGTGTGTAACACAATACAGCTAATGACTGGCACAATGTATTTTCGAACCACGCAATGGACGGAAGTTATTATCACATCTATCAGTCACGTAGAGGCGGGCCCGGTGTCGTGTTGTACTGCTCTGGATCAGACCGCACAATCGGTGGCGTCGGTGGCGCAGAGATGACGAAACAGGCGCGAATCGACAGCTGGAGGGCCTAGACCCAGCGGATGTATGACATCGGCAAACAGCCTACCGGCTAGTGAGGTTTGCTTATGCCGGTTACCGGCGGTACAACCATTATCTTTTCACAATTGCCAAGTGTGAAATAGGCTATAGATAATATGGAAAAGGGTATTTTGTGTCCGCTGGGATGACTGACCGAATATACTGGATTCCCGCTAAGTGTCACTATCCAAAAGACACGACCAGTCTCCTCTCGAACCAGTCGGACGGAGTTGACACGACAGAGGGACTGTGCGATGACGATTAGCGGCCGCGGCTCATGAAAAATACACCCGCTCTGTCTCAGGCACTGATGCGACGAATCGATGGCTCGGCGGTGCGACGGGTGAACCCGACGTCGACGGTGCACAACACGAAAACGCCGCCATGACACGGCGTTGACACGACCGGGCACCAGTACAAACAGCTAGCTGACTAGACGCAGAATATTGTGCGAAACACACAGCGTGCCGACTATCATTGATCTACGGTGCTGACACGTGACGTTGAGATCGAAACAGATCTATAGAGTGCACACAATAAGTGGCGCCGAGATCACCAATCCAGACGATCGGTATGGACCAGTTACTGGACTCGTGGACGGAATACAAACTCCAGCAAAGAGGTTATCTGCAATATGCAGGCACGCTTCTCGTTCGACCCGACATTGGTCCTTCGGTACATACAGGGGCGCAGGGTTTCGGTCGACATAGTCTGACAGTCGAATGAAATCAAATACTCGGTAAGAACACGCTGCAGTCACGTCTGGGACAGCAGCTTCAAAGTTCGAAAGGCGTCATATCGCGGCACGTCTATCGCAGCATTTCGCAAGCCCCGTGTGAATCCTATCCTGAAGACAATGTTTCTCCGCGATATACAACATACAGCCGCTTCAGCTGATTTCGTAGGGAACCACGATTACCAACAAAGAAGAATACGCAAAAATAATTTACGACAAAACGCAAGTAACAATAAGAGAAGTTGCGGAATAAATAATGACCTAAGTTAGAACTTTTTCTTTTCAACAATAATAAATAAATAAATAAAAATTAGAAAACGAGGCATAAAACAAATTACCAGAACACGATGCATAGCAACAACATCATCGTTACGCCCACGCCTCATGTAATTCCCGACATCCCCACCTGTTTGTTTGCTTACATTTCCCCGCCAGTGAACAGATGAACCCGAACCCATCCAGCAATGGTGGTGACTAGCATCGTGGACCTCCTAACATCACACATGACTAGAACGGATTCAACAGACACTCAGACTATAAGTGTGGTTACATCCAGCTTCCTACGTCCCTTCAAGGACGTCCTGTCACTTGCATCAGACTAGTGTCGACCTCACTGGTATTCGTCAGCCGTCTCATCACAGCAATTGGTCAGAAACTGGTTAAAAATCTATCCTTAGCCTGACTAGTGCACCCGACAACGGCAGGAGTATGACGACCCTTCCCCATCCGAGCCTCAGACCTCTGCTCTCCCAACATCAGTCCCCGGTATACAGACTGATCTCCGCTCTCCTAGCATCAGCCCTCGGTACCCAGACCGAAGTCCCTCAGCTCTGAGGCCTTTCTCCGAGCCGGTAGCGCTGGGGACCGCAGTGCTGCGCCTCACTCGTTCCCTGCCGGCGGCATCGACGACATCGAGGCGAGCAGCACGTCGTTGGGCATCGGCGACGTCTTTGTGTAGCGCTTGAAGAAACGGTTCCGGCGCTTGCCACCGGGAACGCCTGTGGAAGGGGCGAAATTAGGAATCAGCCCGAGGCGCCTAAGGCAGGCCGGGAGGGTGGTTGCACAATAGTTATGGGAACGAGCGGAGTGCAGCCTATGGATGTATTGCGTACCGGCAGTCGTATTTCATCACGTGTGAGTGGCTCATTTTATCAAGACACTGCTTGCCCGCCCGTACGTCCGTCCAAACCCACCCGTACATCTGTCCGTCCGTCCGTCCGTCCGTCCGTCCGTCCGTCCGTCCGTCCGTCCGTCCGTCCGTCCGTCCGTCCGTCCGTCCGTCCGTCCGTCCGTCCGTCCGTCCGTCCGTCCGTCCGTCCGTCCGTCCGTCCGTCCGTCCGTCCGTCCGTCCGTCCGTCCGTCCGTCCGTCCGTCCGTCCGTCCGTCCGTCCGTCCGTCCGTCCGTCCGTCCGTCCGTCCGTCCGTCCGTCCGTCCGTCCGTCCGTCCGTCCGTCCGTCCGTCCGTCCGTCCGTCCGTCCGTCCGTCCGTCCGTCCGTCCGTCCGTCCGTCCGTCCGTCCGTCCGTCCGTCCGTCCGTCCGTCCGTCCGTCCGTCCGTCCGTCCGTCCGTCCGTCCGTCCGTCCGTCCGTCCGTCCGTCCGTCCGTCCGTCCAAACCCACCTGTCCATCCGTCCATCCGTCCAAACCCGTCCTGTCCATCCGTCCAAACCCACCCGTACATCTGTCCGTCTGTCCGTCTGTCCGTCCGTCCGTCCGTCCGCGCCTGCCTCACCGTTGGCCTGTGTGGACATCTGGGAGGCGCTGGATGAGAGCAGCGTCTCCGAGTCGCTCCCCTTGATGCTGCCCTGGCCAGAGTCCTTCTCCAGCACCGGAGAGTCCGGAGACTGCACGGAGGGGACGCGCCGTCAGGGAACGAGGGGGACAGAATCGGGGAGAACTGGGGAGTAATTTGTTACACAATCAGAGAAGACAGATGAAACAACATCCAGCATCGAAACATTGAACAGCGATTTCTCCACATTGTTTGAAGGTGTTTTCTTGCAATGATATCCATATTTCCGGAAATAAGTGGCATGCTTGTATTTTTCGCGGAAGTGTGTCTACCAGAATCGTAGAAAATAGGCAAGAATCTACCAGTCAGCACTTTGAGGCTTCAACTACCGCGGTGTAGCCGCATATAGCCCACGAGGACTGTGTACCACTACCGGCTCCCAGGGGAGACATTAGCAGCGCTCACGTACCTCTCTGCCGGAGGACGGCTCCATGGATCCCGCCGGGTGGACCACCACCGGCTCCGACTCGGTCGGCCCGCTCCCCTCCCCTCCTCCTCCGGCCTCTGGGTCAGTCCCGCCGCCCTCCTCTCCTCCTCTCTCCTCCTTCTGACCACCACCACCACTGCTCGCCGACCGCCCCGCCTCCGGGGCGCCGGCCGAGTCACTCGTGTCCCGCCGGCTCGTCTGGTCACGCACCAGGCGGCCCATCTCCGTACGGGTGAACACCTCCTGTATCTGCGCCTCCAGCTCGGGGTGTAGCGGAGTGTCGGGGGAGGGAGTTTTGGCCGGAGGCGGTGGCGGAGACCGGGCCCCCTCGGCGGCTGCCGCTGGGAGGTCGGAGTTCGGTGGGCTCGCCGGGGCGGCGGCCGGGGCGGCAGTAGGGGAGGTGGCGGGCAGGGCCGGCGGCTCCGACTCGGCGGTCCGAGAGACGGTCACCTGCCGGACACCGGGTGAGGTGAGTGGTTACTGTGGGTGGTGAGGCCTGGTGATTTAGTGATCATTGAACCAAGGCGAGGGAACTGAAGGGGGTACCTCTCAAAACAAAGGTGAAAACCAGCGTGATCATAACATAACTGTCATAATTTCAAGGACATATTCCAGCCTTGCGTAACAAAACAAGACTAGTGATCACCGCAAACAAAGGCTACCGACGTCACCGAGTAGCTGTTACTGCTTTAGCAAGATGTCACAAAATACCACGTACAATCAAGCAGCTAGTGAACCACTCGACCCACCCACACCACCCCAGCGCTCCCACCGCTTACCGTCTCCACAGGATCGCCGTCCGGTTCCCGGTCCTCCCCCTCTCCTCCGCCGTCCCCGCCGCCATCCCCCGCTGCCGCTGCTGCTGCTGCTGCTGCCGCCGCCGCCTCCCTGTTGCGTCTGATCCGCTCATCCCTGGCCCGGCGCTGCTGCTCCAGCTCCACGGCTCGCACGGCCAGGTCGGCCGTCACCCGCTGCTCCAGGGACGAGTTATTGTCGATCACGTAGTCGGCCAGCCAGCTGCGGAGCAGGAGACGGGAGGTCAGCGAGGGGAGGGGCTCCAGAGGTCGAGTGAGGTCCTACGAGCCCGCGCACCGACGGGGGGGGGGCGGACAGGAATGTATATAGGAGCGGATCTAGTAAAATCTAGCAGGTTGACTTATGACTTATGAGGTTACATCAAACAGGATTTGTGCATCAGGTGCGGTAAACTGAAAGTGCTTTGACTATCAACAGACACGGTTTCTGAGTATCCCATATCGAAATTATCGGCCAACGCACACCAACCAATTTTCAAACCATACTACCGACCAAAATGCAAAGAGAGTAAACCACGAACGGTTTGGGCGCAAAGCAGCCAAAAATCTTTATCTGAAATACCATTTTGACAGTATAAACCAACATACCTAGCCATAGCCCGAGAAACCTCCCCTCCCCCCTCCATCCTTCCCCGCCCGCCACTCACTCGAAGCCGGTCTGTATGCCGAGGCGTTTCCTCTTCCCGGCGGCGGCGGCGGCGGGCCGCGCGGCGCACAGTTCGATCCTCATAGGACAGCGGTGCTGGTTGGCGGCCGCCTCCAGCTGTAACCGTTCGTTCAGCTCCACCTCGTCCAGAGCCGACGGCTCGTCCTGCTTGTTGGCCAGGCTGCCGATATAGAGGGGGGGGGGGGTCGGTTAGCTGGGAAATGCAGGTGGCAAATCTTATCATTAAATGGAAGAAAACATTATAAAAGGGACAAATAAATGAATGAATAAATGAATACATGAATGAATGAATGGACGAATGCTATAAAATAACGAATGCATTCCTGAATGAATGAATGAATGAATGAATGAATGAATGAATGAATGAATGAATGAATGAATGAATGAATGAATGAATACAAGAATGAATGAATTGATGAATGAATGAATTGATGAATGAATGAATGAATGAATGAATGAATGAATGAATGAATGAATGAATGAATGAATGGACGAATGCTATAAACTAACGAATGCATACCTGAATGAATGAATGAATGAATGAATGAATGAATGAATGAATGAATGAATGAATGAATGGATGGATGAATGAAAGAATGCATGAATGGATGAATGAATGAATGAATGAATGAATGGATGGATGAATGAAAGAATGCATGAATGGATGAATGAATGAATGAATGAATGAATGAATGAATGAATGAATGAATGAATGAATAAATAAATAAATAAATCAATCAATCAGTCAGAGGACGTAACCACAGGTTGTTTGAAAATTGACGAACACTTTTCGTTAGAATTGTGTTAAAGATGTCGGCATGTCAGTACGAGGGGCGTTCAAAAAGTTCTGCGCCCCCGCCCAACCATGAAGGAGTTAGAATTTCGGCCTGCAACGCGGTGTGCTCAATGATGTGTTATTGGGATGTCCACTGACGTAGCCATTAACCGGTAGGTGTGTACTTCGCTTTCTGGGCTCAAGCCAGGCCCAACTGAGGATGCATGCTTGTTCAGTTTCGATTATCTAGCAGCCACCTGCTAGGTCTGCCATATGGTGGTGCAAATACACTGATCTTCATTTATAAAATACAAGAGATCTTCCCAAAATATCGTTCATTGTCACATACAGCACAAGTCGCGACATTATCACTGGAATCCACCACAAGCTAGGAGAATCCATCAAAACTTGCACAAGCCACGAGCATACATAAAAACATCACATTGTTCCCCACCCCCAGTCAACATCCGTCCACATCCATTCAGAGTCATTTGAAAGCTGTTCTTCTACTCGTGCTCTGTTACATCGGCCTTCTAAAATCGTTTCTCCCATAGCTCCACCACAGTTGGGCTGAGGAGCGGTGATGCTTGAGTTCAGACGGTCGGAAGGCTACTTTCTGCAGTCGACTCCGCAGTCGTGCGCCACCTCCCAGTCGCAGTCCCGTCTCAGTCTGCGCAGTTTGCGCCGCCGCCGCGACGGACTGGGCACCGGCCGGATGTGCACGTGTCTGGTGACTGGCCGCGGCTCCTCGGTCTGGCGACACCGCTGCTCGGGCATACTGCGCGTCAGTCGCTGACCGGCGCCTCCCGCCGCCGTGCCCACCACCTCCAGAGAGCGGCAGCCGCGCACCCGGGAGACGGGGCGCCGCGGCGGCGGCGAGCAGGGGGCCGGGGCCGGCACGGCACACACGGCCGGCGGCCGGGGCGCGGCCGCCGTGCACGCCGGCGCCGGCAGCACCGGCGGGCTGGGGATCGGTCCCGGCGGCGCCGGCGCAGCAGTGGAGGACGGCCGCCGCAGACGAGCCGACCGCGAGCGGCTGGGGCGCGGCAGCGGCCCGATCAGTGAGAAGGCGGCCATCGGGTCCGGCGTCGGGTCGGCCGGGATCGGGTCCTGGAGGTCCGGCGGCGGCGCGGCCAGCGTCTTCAGGCACGAGCACGTGCCGTCCACGCACTGTGTGAGCGTGCAGCACGCCCAGCCGACCAGGCTGCAGACGGCGCCGCTGACCAGCTGCACCGTCCCCGAGAGCAGCTCGCACAGCAGCGTCATCGACATGGTGGCCACGCAGCAGACGGCGCCGACGATGGCGTTGAAGGAGAAACACACAATGGAGATGGCGACGCACACCCCGAGGCACACGCTGTAGACTAGCATCCATATCACCTCGCAGATCCAGTTGAGTATGGCGATGATGGCGGATATCAAGAGAGGGATGTAAATAAATAAAAGACACCGCACCATCACGTATGAAGCGATGATAAGAAACTCGCTGGTTCGAATGATGGCTATTACAATGAATTTAAGAGTCTTGTAGAATGCAGTCAAAATATTCTTCGTAATTTCAAACAAACAAATCACACAAATTTTGACACATAAATACAATGCAGTTGCAACTGCGGAAACTGACATAAAAAGGCAATACAATACAGCCGAAAAGCACCACCATATACAATGAATGGCGAAAGTGACAGCCCCTGCCAACGTGAGAAATATAACCGCCATTTCTTGGCTCAGCTCATCCCGATATGTTCCTTGATAGATAATAGAGTGAAGGATCCATCATGTTTCCTGACTTGCAATAGAAAACCAGCAGAAACACAAACTGAACAATCCCACAACGCGGTGAGTCGTAACAAGCAAGGTAACAAGACTCATAAGCTGACTCATAAGCTGACGCTGACCAAGCTGACGCACTTATTCGTATTCGTCGAAGTTCGCAAGGTGAGACAAGCTTTCGGAGAAAAGCTCGTGACGGCTTTTACAAACAGCTCTCCATATGGAATAGATCATTACGGCGAAGGCCTTTAGCTCTTGGCCTAGCTAAGCTTGCAAGGACCCTTGTTGGTGCTAGATAAGCGTTGTGAGGGTAAGCGGGAAAAAAACGTTCAATAAAAAACGAGCGCCGAAAATACACCGCGACACTTGGTAGAGAGTGAAGAGCAGAGCACTGCAACAGCATGGGCTGCATTCGATTGATCGGACACCGGTTAGGGCACCGTCTAGGGCAGTAGAAATTCCGAGGCACATTTAATGCCTCTACCCATGGATTCTCTTTTAGACACGCTGCTTGATAAGAAGAAGTAAACGTTCAATGTTAAAAGCCCAGTCATCGCAAAAACAATGCACTATTTATTTGGATACACAAAAGAACAGGCGCGAAAGGCAGACGTGCGGTAGATGTTGCGATCAATGGTGACGCACATATTACGTAAGATGCTTCCAAAATATATGTCGACAAAAGAGAGCCGATAATTTGCCAGGTCAAACCAGTCCCGGCAGGACGGCGCCGCCGAAAACCCGCGACACGAGCGCCATGACGTTCTTGACGAGGCCGCATCCGAGCCCGACCACTAGCGCCGTGCTGCGGCAGGTCACCGAAAGTAGAATGCACACAGCCAGGCCAACCATGCAGACCAGCACACACACAAGGTGGACGGCACCGCCCACGATCGACCACACGTCCCACAGGATATTCGGAATCGCCACCAAGAAGAAAAAATGGACTCCACCAACGACGAGCCTGACCAGCCAGAGGAGCGCGGCGGCGCACTGGACGACGGCCGACAGCGGCGTGCGCACGGCGTAGTAGGCCAGCCAGCCGGTCACCCGCGCCGCCTCTAGTGTCAGCGCCAGCAGAGCGCGCGCGGCGCTCACCACCAGCCAGACGGAGCACACTGCCAGCTGGTACAGAAAGTCGAGGGTGGCACCGGCCAGCCAGAGCAGCGGGCACACCACAGAGCGCACCAGGCTCCATAGGGACGATAAAATGCCCTCTTCAGGGGCTTCCTTCATTACGAAGACGATATGTGAATGTTTACGGCGAGTGGGAGGCAAACAGAATCTTTTGCTTCATCTTCTTCGTCCATGTTTTCTTACGCTGAGGCTGATTTAAGATGAGTGTAGGGTACAAAATTACTGGAGTAGAAAGTGTACATAGCAAAAAATAGACAAAATATTCTAAGTAAATGTAAATAACATTAAAACACGCATAGAAAGTTGTTGACGACGCGAACTCCGAATTTAGATTATCACTTTCCTGATTTTTGTAAACGGGCTCGCGTGCCACTGTTACTAACGATCTTTTAATGGCTTTCATCATGGTTTTCATGCAGAAACATTGCCTTCCGACAAGTTCCAAGCCGATCCCAAGTCGACCCAATCAGTATGTCTTATTTGATTGGCGTATAGGTATGTAAATTATAACTCTAAGCACGCTTTTATTGTAAGTAGCATTTTCTTATCAAAATGTTGAACGATTGATTTTAAGCGTATAAATGGAAGATTGCATGGAAGCATGTCTCACAAGAAACATGCATCCAGCTTAATTTTCACTGAATGAACGATAATGTGAATGAACAGCCTGCAAAGAAAACAAAACAGATTTACGCATCTTTCAGTTTATCCTCAACCAATTCACAAACAGATGGTGGTACATGCTGCGGACACTTTTTACGAAAATAGCTCATAATCGGTCCGGTGAAGCGTTTTTTGCCGAGCCAATGGCCCTCATAGCGGACGATGGCAGCCCAGGCGGATCGCAGAGTCGCCACAGCACGGTACAGGCGTACTGCGTTTCTCAGCAGGAAGACGCCTACACAGCGGCAGCCAGTGACAAAAAGAAGGCCAACATAGACGATGGACAAGCGCACACCAGAAACGACGAGCCAGACCAGCCAGAAGAGGGCGGTGGCGCACTGGACGATGGCCGACAGCGGCGTGCGCACGGCGTAGTAGGCCAGCCAGCCGGTCACCCGCGCCGCCTCTAGTGTCAGCGCCAGCAGAGCGCGCGCGGCGCTCACCACCAGCCAGACGGAGCACACTGCCAGCTGGTACAGAAAGTCGAGGGTGGCACCGGCCAGCCAGAGCAGCGGGCACACCACAGAGCGCACCAGGCTCCACGGGGACGACAGACGGTGGCGGCGGCGGACTTGCATGATATACAGGCACGCTTTTGGACGTCAACCAAAGCACAAAGCCGACGATCACCCGAGCCTTCGTAAAGCGATTACAGCCGTTTTTAAGCTTTTGCGCTATTCGATCCAGGTTCAGAACGATGATCAGCTTATCGAAATGCACCCGTGTCGTTTGGTGCAATCGCAGAGGTAAAGAAAAGATGCCGCATGGAGAAATAAAAGGTCCACAACTACGTTTTAGGCGCAAAATTCGATGAATTGGTTACGTAAGGAATGACAAATAAAGCATAAAACCGGAAATTAACTTTGGTCAAACCGAACTGGAGTAGTATTGGCTTTAACGTAGAGCCAGTCTTAAAACATAGACCTTCTCGAGAATCTAGAGCCAGAGACCTTTCGTGATATACCGTTGCGGTCTTCATAAAACTGTTATAATCGAAAACAAAGACCTAAAATTGAGAAGTCAGTAAAAAGGAACCAAAACGTGTCAAAACTGGCATTGCTCCTCATGCCAACGAATAGGATCGAGCGAAAGACTACAAAAGTGCTGCTCGACAAACGTTTTGATAGCCAATAGCCATATCATCATACTGGAGTTGGCTTTAGAGCTTGGATGAAGCAGAAGAAGAAAGGGGGAACATATCAGTAATGCATTTCAGCGCTGAGATACGAGAGGCCAAACCTACCTCATTCGAAGGACCAAATTACTAGAGCTATGAGAGGCCGTGTAATAGTTCACAGCGACATCTCTACGTCGATTTCAGCAGCCGCCTTCAACACCTGGTGTCTCCGCTCACCGCTCAGAATGGCTATCAGACGCCCAGATCTGGACTTGCTACCGACAACCCAGCACACGCAGAGACAAAAATCAGACACGATAGCGTGCGTGCAAACACCCGTTCAACCAGACCGGATCGATGGCTGTTGTAAGAAAATTAGCTGAGTTTACGCTACCTCCACCCAACGCGTGTCGAACATTCAAGTAAGGCTGGATCTCGACGACTGGTTCATAATAAATATGGATACCGATTTCGAAATATCGGCAAATATTACCCGTGTATGACACAAGCCTGGCGAGTGAGAGCAGCCAAGTAGCGCTCTCGTTCCGCCACAAAGGCTCGATAGAAGGGCGGAGCGCCGAGCCACGCACGAGCCGAGTGACGCGGAGCAGTTCCGACAGATGGAGACGACCACGAGAAGAGAACCGATACCTGGGCATCATTACAGACACCGGCAATACTGTGCCGAAAAAAATTTCAATGATCGAGCGTCAAAACTGAGCTGTTTGCCGTCAAAATGAGCGAATCGTAAAAGAAACGATTAATTGGTGTATCATTCAATCAAATTTATATGCAATATAGCAGCGGTTAGTATCAATTCACTTGGCAGACTAGGCAAACAAAAGCCTACCCTTCGCTTACCAACTCAATATCATTTGTAAGCTCCTTCCCTTTGCCAAAGCTTCCTAGCTGCAGACTTAAAACGGTAAACTAGCTGTGATCGATAGATGTCGCTCAAGTCGGGATCGGACTTCGAGCAGGTGAGGTCTACCAGCTCTGCTGAACCTGAATGGAGTGCAGCCTGCAGGGGAGAGAGACAGCCCAGGGCGGTTCACATCCCGCCCCTCAGATAGGGCAACACGGAACTGTCCTGTGTCTGCCGTACTCACATCAGCACCGGTTTGCCGGCGACGCGCGGGTCGCCGAGCAGCGCGTGCAGCGTGTCGCGACACTCGTCCGTCCGGCCGGTGTCGGCGGCGTCCACGACGAACGCCAGGCCGTGACTCTCGGCCAGGTAGTTGCGCCAGATGCCGCGGATGCCGCGCCCACCGCCCACATCGTACAGCTCGACGGTCCAGCCGCGCCGGCGCACCTCCAGTCGGGAGAAGCCCAGCGTCGGCGCCGGCGCCGAGACCGGCTCTATAGGGTGGGAGGGGGAGGAGAGAGATGGAGAGAGGTCAGATTCTGGTCCCTGAGACACTTCACCTTGAATGTGTTGAGTTGTGGCATCCAACAGGGAAAGAAACTTGAAAAAACAATGATCATATCAAAATCAGATGGTACAAATTGTATGAGATATTGTATAGGTTAATGATTCAACCCTCAATTTCAACCCTTTGAACAATTCAACACTTGCATGAAAAGCAATGGCAATAAGTAATGATTCAGACACAAAAATATATAAAGATATACACAAATAGTAAGAAGCATGTATATTGAAAAGGCATACCTCCAACAAGGCATTTTGCTGCAGTGGTTTTTCCAGCATTGTCCAATCCCACCAGTAGAATACGAATTAACCTGGAAAGTAAACAGGTATGTGACCATAAGTCCTTCCTTGGAGTAATCATTAGTTCATATTAGTAGAGAACATTTAGCTCCAAGCTCAAAAGCAAAAACTTAAGCCAGCAATCTAACAATGGTACAACTAGAAGCAGAGTTCATAGGATGAATTGATAAGCACATGCAAGTGACAGTGTGAAAAATGCTATGAATGAAGATGGCATCAGTGATTAGTGAAGTATATTTTTGGCAATAAGGCACAATAGGAGGTATTTTACACATATATTTACCTGGTTTCCTGTGGACTCACAGTCCTTCTCTTGCGGCAATGGTGACAGATGATCTGATTGCCCATGATAGTGCATTGTCATCACAAACAAAGGCATAGGTCACAAAGAAGGTTGCTATGAATTCAATTTTTGAAATTTGGTCATAATAAAATTAAATCACAGCTGTCAGCCTGAAAAAGGAGCTTTCTGTTAAGCTCAGCCAAGGATGTCCCTCTGATTATGAAAGATTGAGATTGGCATGCAAGGCTTGGTCCTCTGATGCAAGTTGAAGTGGGCAACGACAAAGGTACCTAAGGCAAACAAAATATACCTTTAATTGTTTTATCAGTCATTAGAGACATCTGAATCTGAACCAACTGGTAACTTGAGCTGGACCAAAAAGAGCATGAAAACAGTAAAAAGCAAGTTGAAGTGGTCATCAGAATCACAGTGAGTAGAATCAGAACTACACAAATGACTATATATGGCCTTGCACAAATGTTTAATTTCAAAGACTGGTGGCACTTCCTAAGACAGCACCAAAGTTGAAGTTGGACGTCTGGGGCGGGCATCGCAGGCAGTTGCGCGCTCTGAATCATCATCAACCACAACCTGAACCACAACTCAAACCAGCAAAAAACATCAACAAAAAAGAAGTGAGAACCTTGATTCCTTGGTATATGTCAAGTTTAGGTCCTAACTACAATTGTGACGCTTTATCTTGACATTTTGATTTACCTAGAGTTCAGTGCATTTACCTTTATATAGCCTTGCATTTACCGATTCCTTTTCCTGCCACCACAAGACAGCTAACTTGAGCCAACTGATCAACACGCGCACGGTATATAGAAAACTTGTAACACGGGATACCAACACTGAACACGCGCATCAAAGTTGGGGAACGGCCATGTTTATTACCAAAAAATATGATTGGTCAAAATGTGTTGTGAACTTATCACTTCTCTAGCTTCGATTATAATGACTCTAAGCCTACCGACAGCGGCGCCAGGGTGGCCGAGTGGTTAAGGCGCCAGACTTAAGTTCTGGTACTCGTCTGAGTGCGTGGGTTCGAACCCCACTCCTGGCAGAGCGCTTTTCCGACGACGTCGTTGAGAGCCATAACGGATTACGAGCCGTTTCGGGGTTTTATCTCGACAAAATCGTGCAACGGGAGGGGGGAGGGACATGAGCTTATTGTTTGATCGTGGTTTGATCCAGTACTGTAATTACATGTACCGTAAAGTGGGGCTATTTGAGACAGTAAGGTAGTGGTTTAGTAAAATCGCTGTAAAATGACCGTCTGATGTTTTTTCGTCATTCTTGCTTAGGCTGACGTGGAATTGAACAGTGAATGCTCTGAATAACCTTTTTGAATATTTCCAAAAGTTCTTAAAGAAATTTGCCATAAAATACGAAATACAGAAAAACGCACAAATTAAGTTACTCGAAAAGGACCCCTACCTGCAGCGTAACAAAGTTGAAGTTTTAATACCTTCGCCACTATATCTATCGTTGCTACCTTTTTACTTATAGGCTAAACACATTTTTCATGAACATATTAGGTATATATTGTTAACGGCTGCCGATTGCGTAACCCATTGTCTCAGAATCCCGATGATGCCCATCTGGTCAAAACTCAACGGAAAGGTAGGTAGGTACCTACCCAGCTAACAATTTGCCGTTGTTACAACGTCGTTTAAACGTTGTCAAATGGTTACCACAACGTTCCGATTTATCGTTGTGACAACGTAATTTTGTAGACTCCAGACAACGGCGTGACAACGTCATCCGACCATGCATTTGAATGTCGTCACAACGTTTCTGTTACGTGACCGTGACGTCCCAAAACCGTTCTCACAACGTCCCGCCAACGTTATGAAATGTTTTCTGTAACGTGCCAACAGTGTTTCTGGAACGTTGTCACCACGTTTCCACAACGTGACTACAACGAGTATAGAACGCTTTGGCAACGTCTCTGCGACGTTTCTGAACGTTTTTATCACGTGCGCACCACGTTGTCGCTACTTCGTATTGCCGTCCCTGCGACCCTGAGTAAACGTCCTAAACCTTTTTGCAACGTCCTCTCAACGTGTTCGCAACATACTCAGAATGTGTTTCCGACGGTCTCTTCCCGTTCTCTAGACTTTTAAAAAAAGGCATGTAAGAAGTGTATATTTCAATACATCACACAGCTCAATTTACACACAAAAAAAAAAAAACGACAGCGGCGGCATCGGTGATGGGCATTGGGGCCCAGGGGTGCCCCAATGGGGGCGTGGGACGGAATTGGGTTCCACCGACTCTAGCGCTAGCCGCTAGCACGCCAGAACTGGTCGAAGTTCACTTCTTCACTAACCCTCGCTGATCACTCGGCGGACTGTTAGGCACCGGCTCATTTGCGGCCTTGATGTCCCTAGGCAGCTGGCAGTGCCTGACCAGACGGTCTGCACGCCCCCCGTTCCGGTCGCAGCTTCCGAACAGCCACTTCGCCACCGCCTTGCCGACAGTAGCCCTGGCGCCTGCCACAAGGCGCGCTGACGAGTTGCAGGACGTCTGCGGGAAGACATGAGGGAAAATCAGACATATTCAATTCATGAAAAAAAAAACACAAAATACCTGCACCAGTTTTCCCCTAACAGTGCGACAGGCTAGATCAAACATGTCAACACCTTAGAGGCTAGAGCTACAATGAACTATAGCCTAGACCGCACGATATTACAAGGCACAATCTTGCAAATGCTACTCGTAAATGGTACTTTGACTTACCAGTCAAAGCAATTATCACATCAAACGCAGACAACTGGCGCTATCTTTCATCTTCCAGCTATCTCAGCCGCGCCCGCCACCGGCCCTCGCTGCTCGCTCGCGCCGCGCAGACTGCGGCTCGGCCGCCGCTGGCTCTGAACGCCGGCTGGTGACACTGACGTCACGGCCCCTCCGGCGAGGTCAGGGCGAGCCACCGCTCGACACTGGCGGCCGGCGTGGCTTGCTGGCAGCCGCGGGTAACAGCCGCGTTTACATAGGGATAGTTGCAAGCCTCTAGCTCCGCCTGTGATGTTGCAAAACATGCCAATGACGCTTTGCAATTAACACAACCAGTATAGCGCCTTTTGGGGCGACTAACGGAGCGAGCGAGAGGGTGGGCCTTGCACGTGCGAAATTGCGAGGGGGTACCTCCAACTGACTTGTGCACGGCACCCTACTAACTGGTCTCTAGCGATGTGCCAAATTTGGGCACAATCGGCCCAGCCGTTCTCGAGATCTGGAAGCGGCACCCTGCACGTGCGCACGTGCAAGGTGGGTCCCAACTGACTTGTGCACGGCACCCTACTAACCGGTCCCTAACCGTGTACCAAATTTGAGCGCAATCGGTCCAGCCGTTCCCGAGATCTGGAAACGACCCCTGCACGTGCGCACGTGCAGCAGCACCCCAACTCTGGCACATGTATATGCAGTGCCTAGTGGGTGCCTACCTACATGCCAACTTTCAGCGCAATCGGCCAAGTAGTTACCGAGATATTGCAACAATTACAAAATTGACACCTCTTCGTTTCGCACGTGGCACGTGCATAAGGGGTCACCCACATGCATCGGGAATAGTCCAATACTTGGTAGAAGGAATGAAGCTACCCTACAAAAATTACCGCGTGTAAATCGGTCAAGTGGTTGCTGAGATATAAGCCTCGCAAAAGCGTGACCACGGCCGGCCGGCCGGCCGGCCGCTCATACTCAGAAATTTCCGTTAATCTAAGGAAAGACTACGCTCGCTTCGCTCGCTCCGTAATGATCTCATCTAAATATACGCAAAGTACTGCATTAAAATTATCGCAGAAGAAGTGAGCAATAGCCCCGACAAAAATGCTAAGTTGAAGTAACCGGGCATATTGTTTGGTGGCAGGGAGCCGGATTTGTGCCGGACTTGGCGGTCCGAAACCATAGGTACTCCGGAGCGCTACGGCAAAGACTGGCTTATCGGAGTCACCATCAAATTAATACCCAACCGCCTTTTAACTATATGTTATATATGTTATATATGTAATATATGTTATATATATATATATATATATATATATATATATATATATATATATATATATAGCTTAAATATATATATAGCTTAAATATATATATATCATAGACCACTATATATCTGGACTGTGCACGGAAATTAGGGCCCTGCCATTAGGGCCCTAACTTTCGAAGGTCGTCACAGCTAACGTATTCGCCATATGATGATGTGCTTTGGGAAACATCACCACTAGTCAATTTGTAATCTGAGTTATATCTTACATTGAGCAAAAAATATATAATATTAGCGCAATCATCGAAAAAAGAAGGGCATTTTCTGCCCATTTCTTCCATGATTTAACATTGTGTGGATGATGGTTCCCAGCTAACTTTCACGAGAATTAGCAAATTTTCACAGACATGTAGCGAAGATTTTTGCAAGATTATCGTTGTTTGTTGTTTATCATTGACATGCGGGATAGTTCTCTTTTGTCTTTAAATAAAATGAAACCTTTTAATGCATACATGCCACTGAAATACAGTAAAATGTGCCGCTAGTGATAATCACTTCAGAATATCCTATGAACAGAACGGGGAGTGAGCATATTCAAAGAGCCAAGACAGTGCATGCAACAATGTCAGTTTTCCGGTTCCTGGCTAAGGCATCAATATGAAGTCAATTTCTATATGCCCTAAAGCTGAAAATGTCTTGGAATTCTGACCACTGGGCTCCCTGTGAGTTTTATTACATGCTGTGACGCTGGCCGAGACCGAAAAATTGAGCAGAAGACAGTTCTGTAAGGAGAGGTGGCGGTTCCGTTTCCAGACTGGCGGCTCCTATAATATCAGTCACAAGTGAAGCCCAAAACTAGCTAAAGTCTTGCAATTTGGTCAAGTGATGGTCACATATGTTATGGCTTGCGGAGAGCTGGCGTGCCCACATCAGCAATCTGTGTTCCGCTCCTGCATGCAAGCAATGGGTCCTGCTCTGGTAACAGCTGCCGAGTCGCTCTCTCTTCGGCACACGTATAGCTTCAAACGTGTGTTTCAAGACAGCGCGACTACCATTGTAAAGGAAAACGATAACTTTCTTCACATTGCTCGCTGAGGGAGTCACACTGTCGAGAAGCACCTCAAGTTACAACGCTACGACCTGCATTCCTTCAACACATTGATGTGTATAGTTGAGCGAAAAACAAACATTGCAATTCATGGAGTCAATATGGACAGTATACCGTCACTTAACACCAGCGATGCGCGAACAGAGCTTCATGAAATAAGAAAGCTTCATGAAAATGAGAAAGGTTGAGCCGCAGGACGTAAACACAATGCAACATTCCTGGGATCAGTTTGTCTATGCAATCAATAACTACGATCCTATTCGTCGATGTGTAAGATACCTACATGGCTGAGAATTTCAGATGTGGATTTACAATTCGAATAGTAACTAAAGGCAAATGTAGCACAAGAACTATAAGAAAGTGCATTCCTAAGTGCGAAGCTCTGCTGCAGTGTCCAGTGAACCGAGATCTCGTGACTCCGTCTAAATCTCGAATCTCGATCGCCATCACCCGCTGCAAAATGCGGCCACCGTCACTGACAACGGTGTTCAAAAGTCCCCTTCTCTCGAGAGGGACAGATGACAGAACCCGTCTGTCCCTATGCTGAGCATGAAATCGGCCTCAGTGGAAGCAGGGAACAGTTGTGGCCCAGCAGGTCACCTCGGACGGTCTCGCTAAAAACGCAGCACAGGCAGCTTTGTTATTTACCCATAGGAATCTTCGTAATTCCGTGGCGCAGATCGTGTGGGCTTTCAAAGCATTGAGCCGGGTGCGTGTCTGATTTAGACAGGCAAATTAATCTGCAGTGTGTCCAATATGTCATCAGACTGTCTCTTGTCAAAAACGACCGATCACGGATTGTTCCTGTCTATTGATGCTTTGAACTTAATACAGTGTGATATACCTGTCTATAAGTGCTTTTATTTATTTATCGTGTTAAAAATCATGCTATAAATTATACATTTATTAAAATATACATAACATTTAAGAAGTTACTTTCATTTAAATGGGCTTACTA